GTAAAAAGTAAATCTGCGTACAAATGAAAATAAAAATATAGGGTACATATTAAAAATTAAAATTATAACGTACAAATCAACATTGTTTTCTAAAGTAAGGACACAAAAAGAACCTAAAATATATGGGTACTAATTAAACTAAAAAGACAAAATTAAAAAATGGATACAAATTAAAAATAGAAATATATGAAAAATAGTAAGTGAATATATTTAGAAATAATTGAATAAGATTTTAATTTTAAAATTAAAATATGTTGACATGTAAATCATTTACTATTCAAATAACAATGTGGAGAAAAGTCAAAGGAACTTGATAAAAAATAAAAAATAAAAGTTTTAATTAATAAGAAGGTAAAATGAGAGATAACAACTTAATTTATCCTATTTTAATCTAAATACAATAAATTGGTTGCGTTAATTTTTTTAGGAAAATTTTATTAAAACTCATTTGTTTAATCACTACACCCAGCTTAAAATTTAGATATAAAGTGTGTATTCTACAATGCAATCAAACTCAAACTTAAAATTTAGACATATTTGTCAATTTGTCACTTGAACTTGTATGGAGCTGTCAATTTCTCCATGAATTTTAATTTTACTCGATTATTCTCTTAAACTTTTATAATTAGTCAATTTCACTCTTAAACTTTAATTTTAGCCGATTACTCCTCTGAACTTTTATAAATAGCAAATTTTTCCCCTGGCGTTAGATTTTTAAAATTTTCATCCAATTCTCCATCCATCTTAATCACAGAAACAACATATGACAACTGTATGAGGGCAAAAATGATGAAAAATTGGATGGATGAAGAATTGAATGAAATTTTTTAAAATCTAACGTGAAGGGGGGGAATTGACTATTTATAAAAGTTCAGGGGATAATAGGCTAAAATTAAAGTTTAAGGAGAAAATTGGCTAATAGAAAAATACAAGAGGGTAATAAGCTAAAATTAAAGTTCATGAGAAAATTAAGAGCTCCATACAATTTCAGGAGACAAATCAACAAATGCTTCTAAAATTTATGAAGACAACCTTCTAGCTCTACCTCCTTTTACAATAACCCAACCCTAATTTGTAACCAAAATTACATGCTACTGTAAGAAACGGTCGATTAATTCATTTGGTATGACAGACCTAATACGTAAGAATTATGTGCTCAGAGGACTCACAGTCAAGCGTGGGAGTTAAACGTCGAACATGTTGGGTTGGTTGGAGGCCAAGAGGTCACGTGCACCCCCACGCGAGAAAGCGACGCCGTAGGGTCCACAGAGAAAAACAAGGGCTTTAAGCTTCCGACACACGGCGTTCATTCCTGGACTCACCAAACCTACAAATAGGCTTCGTAGTTTTGGCCTATGCAAAGTATGCGTTTCCCAGTATCCAACCAGACCAGCCGACCAGGGCGCTCATACACTTTGGGTCGGCACCGTAATCAAAATCGCCGAGTTGTTCGAATTTCAATTTATTTTTGTTTTCGCAAATGTTTTCCCCAACCCACTACATGGATTGAATTGTATTAAATATTTCAAAATTGTATTATCCAAGATCTACTTATGCAAAGATTGTTTAGATGTACTTTTAATATATTAAAAATATTTTTAGTTAAAATCTTTAGAACCAATTTTTAATAAAAATGCTAGTTAATTTTGAAAAAAACACTTAAAGTGTTTTCTAGAAGAAACACAAATTATGTTTTTTTTTTTGTAAAAAACATTTCAAGTGATTTTGGAACCTGAAAATACTTTCTTTAAAAACGTTTTCAGTTATTATAAAAGCACATCCAAACAACTCTGCACAAAAAAAAAAACAGAAATAAAAATTCTTAACATCTAAAAATCTAAAAAAAAAGGTTTGAGAATGAAGGCTATGGTAGAATATATCATGGTTGGCGACTTCTTTTCATATTATACATCGAGAAGCCAACCCACTATATGGATTGAGTTGTATTAAATATTTCAAAATTGTATTATTAAAGTCTAATGATGCACAAAAGAAAACGGAAATAAAAATCCGCACATCTTAAAATAGTAGGTTTGGCAAGTGGTTCTTTACCATAATAGTGAGATAAATGTTGCATTTACACCAAGTGAGTTCAAATCTTGTCGGCTTTAATATAACATATAATCTAAAAAATTTATTGTTTGACAAAAAAAAAAAAAAAGTAGGTTTGAGATTAAAGGCTATGGTTGAAGAAGATATCATGGTTGGCAACTTCGTTTCAAATTATATATTGACAAACCAATTTTTCCGTCAATGTTCTTATTAGCGTAGACTTACAATTCAACATGTTCATGTATAGGCTCATATTTTATCTACTACAAGAAATGATTTTTTCTCTGATTGTATTAGTACTGAATATAATTGTGATTTTCCTATCTAATTAAGTTTGTTTTTCAAAGAAAAAAAAAGTCGGTTTTGAATGAGAGTTTTTTTTTTTTCCAAGGTATTGATGTGTACATACTTCAAAATAACTTGAAATGATGTATTTCTTGCGTGAAGTTGTCTAGTTGACCAAAATGATCCGTGGCTACGTGGAAGAAGAAATATGTGCATGCCAAACATGCATATGTTCCCACCAAAAAACAAAACATTGATTTGTAAACTATAATTGACAAACATGATATGTAATTCCTTGTGTATAATAACGTAGGTCTTCACTTAAAACATTTTTATTAACCTGCACGTTTTTATAATATGTTTGTAAAGATCTTTGCTTATCATATTCAGCTATCGTTAAACATTGTAAGAATAATATAAAATAACAATTCCGTGCATTATGTAAGAATAACATAAGAATGATATGGAAGTCGATGTTTTCACAAAGCCCTTTATTTGTTGAGATTTCTTTTATTCAAGATGTTTTTTTTTTTTTGTTTCTAACAAAGCGGAAGTTTTAGTAAAGAAGATGAAGGTGAAAAAAGAGAGTGATGAAAAGAATAACGTTAAAGAGATAACAATCACGCTTTATCACAGTGATAGAAATGTGTTGAGCCCTTACATGATGACGTGGGTTTGAACTTCGTCGGTGACTAGTTTAACATCTAATATAATAAAATCTATCGTTTGACAAAAAAAAAAAAAAAAAGAGATCACATATAATGCTCACATAAATATATATTTTAACATCATCAATTGATCCGATTTAATACCATTGGAAAAATAATGAGTTATAATGTGGTAAAAAAAATACAATGTTACTCAAATAAATTACTTGATGGTAAGGAGACTCTGTCAAAAGTAGAATTCTCTCTATGGACTCTCCGTCACTTTATATTTTTTGGCATAATTCCCGTAACAACATTATAAAAATTGTACTAAAATCATAAGATCACAAAGAATCGATAGAAATTCTAATTTGAGAGAATCTCCTTCAATATTTCTCAACTTAAAATTAAACCAGTGTTCTAATTCAAGAAGCAAAGGCAAAGGTCATCAAGTGCAGTATTGTGGGTTGGTGAACCACCAATTATGGTGAGAAAACAAACCTGACAGAAAGCCGATTATTTTCCGAGTTATTTACTCTTTAACGTAGAGTATAAAACTTCTCATCGCATACACTATTCAAGAGCAGCTCTTCTTTTACATTGACCAAAAAAGCAGCTCTGTTTCCTGTTACGCGTTGCATCACATCGCCAAGACAAATCACCAATCCAACGGCTATGCTGCATGGTTTGCGCAGTTCTTACGTTGGACTCTCCCGCACGACATTACCACTCTGTCTATGTGTGGATGAGCAGACAAGATCATGGGATCTGCATGTTTTTATTGCACAAGCCCTGCAAAAATGGATCATGCAAATCCTTCCTCAACTTTTTCCTCTCTTTTCTTCTCTTGGGAGCGAGCGCATAATATTAAAAATTAAATGTCACTTATTATTACCGTTTAGTAATATTTATATTCATTTTGTAAACTCAAAATTTTAAGTCTGATTCTTGTAAAAAATGAATTTGAATCATATGATTATGATTCGCCCATTAGAACACTTAGTCCACTTCTTCACTACTTTAGTATAACTAATGTATTATAAATAAATGAACAATGAATGTAACTGGCCAATAGACCAATAGACAACGTCCCATCCATCAATTTCTTGGCATGCTAAATGCAATGAAAAAGATTTGAAAAATTTACATTTTAATAATAAAGATAAAATAAACGGTATCAAGATTGATTTTTTATATAAAAATGTGATTTTTTGTTAAAATAAACAGTATTGGAAATCTTTAATTAAAGTTTTCAAAAGCAACCCCATTAATTTATCACGCCTAACGATATAACACGTGTCTTCGCTTATCCTAAACCTCCTCCTAAATTAACACCAACTTAATTAAGTGACTTTGACACTAAGAAAAGGCAAAATGTGTTGGACTTTGTGCTAAACAAGAAAAATCAACTCCTATAAACATCAATTCGATATAGAGCACTGACTTTTTTTATGAGTAATGTTAGAGATTGAATTTTTTAAATTAAATTACAAATTAAATAATATGTTATTAATAAAAAATAAATATGTTAACTGATACTTTATTAATCATTCAATTATCTACAACGATATCATTTAGTTTAAAAAAATAATCTCTCTAGCATTACTATTTGTTTGGCTAGTGACTTTGAAAGCAAGAATGTCATTGTAAACAAGTTTTTCTCTTGTGACAAAAAAATTTGGAGTCATGACTCCATGCCCATCTATGTTTGTTAATATTCCTATCATGAATGATTGTAAAAGATGGATATATGTGTGAGCGAATTGATCCAAGAATATTATCTTTATTTAAACAAATAAAGTAGAATGTGTAGTTGCATATTCAAACCCAATCTTGAACTAATAATCAACTTATTTATAACTACATTATTTGATTTACAAATTTAGTCTTTTTAACATTATTAATAAATTTGTGTCATTGGCACTAAAAAGACAAAATTGATTGGGTGTTGTGCTATAAACAAAGTTTGTGTACTAGACTAACTTTATTAACACCAATGCAATGTAAAGCACTAGGCTGTAGGCAAATAGGGCAGTGACTTTGGGAGCAAGAATGTCATTTTCTATCAAATATAGAGGGGATGTTTGGGGTTGTGTGCTAACGAGGCTGGACAACATTTGGTGTTGGTGAGAGGCGAGGTCAGCACAGCACAGCACGCTTTGCTTCCTGAGTTGAACAACCTCCTCCTCCTGTTATTACGTTGTGTTTTTAGAGAGAGGGGCTGTGGTTGCGTGCATTTGCTCTAATTTCTGTTTTCTGTTTTGGGGTTCTTTGGGGGGAAGGGAATCTCTCTGCCCATCTCATCATTTTTCACTTTTGTTTCCATCTCTATTTGTAAAAATCTCTCACAGCAACTACTCATACAACCCACGAGTCCCAAAAGTAGAGAGAGAGAGAGAGAGAGAGAGAGAGAGAGGAGAGAGAAGGAAAAAACGAAAAGAAAAGAAGAGAAAGAACCCACTAAAGCCTACATCAAATTTTAAAGAGAAAAAAACCCCGTAGACATCAATCCCCGCCCTATTTTAGCCTCCCTGTCCCTTTTGTGCTTTAAGTTTGGTTGTTTGTTCTTCTCCTTATTTTCTCTTCCCTTGTGAGGTTTTGGTTTTTCCTTTGTGCTTGTTTCTTCAAGATCTTTTGATATCAAAGGTGTGTGAGACCAAGTGAGCAATTTGAGCACATGAGGATGTTGGCCTTTGAAGTTTAGAGCTTTGTCCAAAGACTTTTATAAGGTAAAAACCCCTTTCTCCCTTTCTCTTCCATTTTTTCTTGTTCTTGTCAAAGTGGTTTCTTTTTTATCCCAAGCTTATTAAGTTCCTCTTGTTCCATTTCTCAGTGCAGTTCCTTCAATTTGTATTTCTGGTGTGAAAAGTACAAGGGAAAGTAAAAAGATTTGAATTTTTCACTAGGGTCATCACAAAAACTGAGTATTTAGATATGGTCGCTGAGATGGAGGGATGTACAAGGAAGGAGGAGGAGGCATGTCCACAGCTGCTAGATTTAATTCCTAGACAGAGAGACTGGCTTGTGAGCAGAGATATTGAGGGCAGCAGCCATGGAAGCTCCTCCTCAGAGGAGAAGAAGCTTGAGCTCAGGCTTGGCCCTCCATGCCAAAACTGGTCAATGGAAAGAGAAAGAGATGAGAAGTCTCAGTCCCTTCTCTCTCTTGGGTACTTTTCTTCCCCCATGTTCTCCAACCAAACCCAGAAACTTATTTCTTCTTACCAGCAGCAGGCAAAAGTTGGATCTTTTATTCACCTGCCTGTCAACCCCAACAAAGCGTCACAGCCCTGTTGCAGTAAAGTGGTAGACTTGCAGAATGCAGAAAGGAAAGGGTTTTCACCAGCCCCTGCAAACACAGCTGTGCTCCCCAACACCTCTCAGAAAAGGTAATCCAGCTTTTTCTACTTTCTTGTGTAATATTGTTATTATTTTATTTTTTTTCAGACAGAGGATATTCACTCACAGGTTCTCACTGCTTGGAGCTAGACTAGGCAAAGTTGTGGTCCATGCATAATATTTCTATTTTTTTTTAATTATTTTTTTCATTTTTGTTGAAGTTTCAAATTATTTTCCTTTTTCTGTAGTTTTTCCTGTGAGACAGTTTGCTTTTTTCTGTTTATTCATAATCAAGCTTGTTTCTTTTTGGGTCTGTCCAAGCATACCGCCTGTTCTGCCCTTTTCATGCAAGTTTTTGGCTTTTCTGTCGTTGTTTCTTGCCAAATCTACTTCAATAACGCCTACATATTATCTCTTTCATTAGTACATTATTATTTAGTTCTTAATGTCTTTTGTAGAATTTATGTATAATAATTTTGTGTGAATTAATATATGAAAACTTATTTTGTGCTAATTATTTCTCTTTTGATATCCTAAAAAAAATTACAGAACTGCTCCTGCTCCGGTTGTGGGTTGGCCTCCAGTTCGATCATTTAGGAAAAATCTTGCAAGCAACAACTCATCGAAACCTGCGGTTGAATCCGAAAATGTTGTCCAAAACAAAGTTCCTAATGGTAAACCAGTTGAAACCAGCAGACAGGGTCTGTTTGTGAAAATTAACATGGATGGGGTTCCCATCGGAAGAAAAGTGGACCTCGGTGCCTATGACAGCTACCAAAAGCTCTCCTCCGCTGTCGATGAACTCTTCCGTGGCCTTCTCGCAGGTAAATCTCATAAGTAATTATTATTGTAGCCACATTGTTAATTTACTGTTTAAAACTTATTCCTAGCATTTTTAATTAGTTAGAGAGAGTATGATTTGCGTAAAAGTGTATACTTCATATGGTCAAAATTCATTTTACCAACGCAAATTTTATAATGTTTTGGTTTTTACCACAATTTGTTTTGATGGGGTTTTCGGATTGTTTTTCATGAAAATACATCCTATCTATTTATACACAATCGTGTTTGTCGTTTGTGCGCTCTGATGTGTAGCTCAAAGAGATTCCTGTGCTGGTGGAACCAAGAACAAGCAAGGGGAAGAGAAAGAAATCGCAGGCTTATTGGATGGAAGTGGAGAATATACCCTAGTTATGAAGATAATGAAGGAGACAGGATGCTCGTTGGGGATGTCCCATGGCAGTAAGCATCTTATCATCTCTCTGAATCTGATGCAAATTTAGATTATTTTCTTTCACTTCCTCATGTATATTATATTCCAACACTTGCTGATATGATTTCAGTTTTAATCTCACCATTTTATTAAATCATGCAGAATTAGATTCCTTCATCTTTAAACAATATATGCTTCTCATTTTTATGCATAGATATCAGCGTACTGTTTTCGTTTGTTGTTTCTTAATGTAATGATTCCCGCAACTCCATACAACGGCATCATATCGTGTCATTTTGCACCTGAAAAATTTGTAAAATTTTCTCCTGCCGTAAGCACGGACGTTAAACAATGTTGTGTAATTTGCTCCTTGATCTTTGATTTGCCAGGATGTTTGTGTCGACTGTGAAGAGGCTGCGTGTGCTCAAGAGCTCTGAACTTTCTGCACTTCGTCGTATGTTCTATGTTGATTCATTATATAAACCCAACTTTGTCCTTATTAATTAAATTAGCATTTGGTTTTGCATCCTTGCAGTGATTATGATTAAACTAGTGGTGATTTGTTTTCAGTTCGTAGCAGCAAGCAAGATAAGATGCCACTTTGACTCTGCATTCAACCGAAGAAAGGGGAATTTTAATCTCAAGAATCCACCATTGAAGTTTGTATTTTGCACTAGACTTGTTTTGTGTGACTTATCTGAAATTTTGCTTCAGTAATTTCTGTGGAGAAAAGGAAATGAGAAAAGGAAGCCAAGTGGCGTGTGGAGATGTATGGGTCTGTATCTTGGCTCTTGTAGAAAAAAGAGAAGCAAAGAATGTGCTTTGGGTGGCACATCACCTTGCCATATTATGCATTCTGGTAATTATGTTACGCGGATTTAACCGAATGCCACATTATTTACTCTGTTATGGATTCTAGCAATAATGTTATGTTGGTTCAACCGATTGTAAGTCGAATTCACGATGCGTATTACTTGGTCAAGAACACTATGCCAAACCACCTGCGGACGTACCTAATTCCTACAAACAAAACTGTCCCATCTCATGGCAAAGAGATGACTTAGAGAAGGGTGATTTTGTTTGTTTGTTTCTTTTCCTTAAAAAGTCACTAATGAAGTTTGACTGCAAGCAAAGGTTGATTAGAAAGTCATAAACATCTAATTTTAAACAAATGTTGTCAATTAAGTAAACATATTAAGGGAAGTAGGGCTTGAAATCTGGCCAAAACAGAAAGACAAAGAAGTAAAAAGTAAAGGAGACTAAGATTCCATGTAGGGAGTAATCGTAGGAGTTGAAGATGATCATGTAATTTGGGATGAGTTTTGAGCTGGGACTTCTTGCCACATAGAGGTATATATAACTTGCATTGACCAGTCGTTTAATAACTTGTTAGATTTGTGTTACGTTCAAAGTTAAGCAAATCTTAAGTTCATGTGACATCAAATTATAATAATAATTATCATAATTGTTATCAAAATATTACACTTGCTACAATAATTATTCTTAATTTTACTTATCACTCAACCTAGACAAGTTTTTTTTAGTAGGTTGGGCGTAGACCTTAAGCCCCTAGGTGTATTTAGTGGTACATGGCAATAAAAAAATGCCATATTGATCTGCTAAGTAAGAGTGGTGCTAGGTAGACTAAATTTGAAAAATAAATGATGTGTCACTAATAAAAAATAAACACATTAATCAACACTTAAGTAATAATCCGATCATTAACTTTTTATATCATTTAATTTACAAAATTTCGTTTACATATTTAGTCTCCCTAGCATTACTCGATAACTAATCAATCTCCTACAAAACTAAAAGAACGATGGGCTGTAAAGCTTGCTCCACTTTCTCCTTTTTGATTCCATTTGGAGAGGTTGCCAATTTGTACACTATTCATTGTATTCAAAGGGGTTTTTTTCGGCTTAGGCTTTGGGTCCTTTGGGTTGGGATAAAGTAGAAACAGACACCTTTTGAGTTCAAAAGAGTAGAGACCCAAAAATCCCCAGAGTCCTCACCAGACCTTTGACGTGATGCCCCTCCACCTCAACACTATCCATTGGGTCCCTAAATGTGTATACATCTTCTACACATGGAGTTGTGCTGTCATCCGAAGCGAACACATGTTTAAATCTAGTGCATCAGCGGTCACAAATCAACTATAGAAGCGTGGACGAGTAAGCGTATCGCATTCTTCTTGAAATATCGAGAACCATATTTGATGAGTAAGATAGTGATGGCCATTAATGCAGAGCTTAATTGTAGGGTTAGATTCGTTTGGACATTTGAGGGTTGTGTCCTAATCAACGTGTGGGTGCATAAGAAAAACTGTCTAGAGGGTGAAAAGGAATATGGAGGTTTGGGGAGGATTGAAGGGTCTTTGTCTGTAGTTGAGAGCTGCCTAACTTTGGGCGAAAAAGGAGACTGCCCTTTATTCCAAAGGAATTCATTTTGTGGTCTTTGCTTTTGAGTTTAGGGAGAGGATAATGTCCCTATAGTCCACTTTATGTACCATAAATTGGAAGTCACTTTACACAAATCCAAAATTTTGCATGCTTATTTCATGTATCAAATTCGTGTCGTTCATGCATGCGTATGTGCAGTTTTCAATGACTATACGTAGAAATTTTGTTGATCTGAAATCTTTTAGTTCAAGCAAACTCCTAGTGAAAATAAATGTGTCTTTAGAATTTCCTATAATTTACATATTGTGCAGCTAAGCGATTATTCTTTAGCTTTTTCTCCTTTTTGAGAGATTTGGGCAAAGCCGTATATAATTGACAACATAATTAGGTATTTAATTCGTCATTATAAGAGTCGAATCTGAGAACTCTCACTTACAACTGTAGTATAATAATGGTTAAATGATTCACGACCTAAAAAGAGAAAGGAGTATGAAAAACAATAACATTTGAGAGATTGTGAATTACCACGACGATTTTTTATTTGAGTATGGTGGACATAATATCTGTAGGCTGTTTAATGCCCGGGCTTATTCTGTCTGGGCTTTGTAGTTCATGGACATTACAAATTAGTAGCCCAAACATAAACCCAATCAAAACCGAAGGAGTGATACGGTTAGGGCTGGTTCGGTATGGGATACCGAACCAAAACCCTTGTCCTGATTCCCAAACCGATGTTTTCGGGAATTCCAATGTTAAGACCGATCCCAAACCAAATTTTCGAGAATCCTGAAATAGTTTGGACTTTTGGGCTAAAATTTAGCCTTTTATATTAAAATTTAGATTTATAACCCAACCCAATATGTGCAATCAATATCAATCTGTGCATAACTTCATACATATTGGGCTTTTAGCCTTTAACTTCATACATAGAAATCCCAAGGATACAGCTTATACTAGGATACAACTTACTCATAAGCATGAACATCTCACTGACATGACTCATAGAAATCCCAAGAGCTCGGAAAGCTTATATTAGGACGACACATGCATCATATTACTGAAACATTGTATTCATCCAAGGGAATGTTTCCCACACGTTTCAAGCAGTGGCCTTCATGAAAAGAGATTACACGGCAGTACCTGAAATGTTACATCTTAAAACTAATCCTGTGTCCGAGATATAGGCACAATCCTAACATACTGCATAATTCTTTACCAATATTGATGCTAATACTTCCACCAAAAACTGCATAACGGATATCCATGTATTAAAGCAAATGGGGTTATATATCATATGCCCCTAAATATATAACCTAATAACTATGACACCATCCAGCTAAAAATTACCACCTCGACTGCAGAAACTTAACAAGAACCCCCCAGAGAAACGTTGCAAGGGAAGTAACGATAAGACAACTACTTGTTTCTTGTTAGGTATGGGTAGAGAGAAAAACCAGTCTCGCCATACAGAAACACCCCATATCAAAAGAATCAATTTTAACCACAAAAACAATCATTTTGAACTCCCCATATCGAAAAAATGGCAGAAACACAGCATATCGAAATCTGGCAAGAACCAGCTATACCCTTTTGTTTTCAACCAAAAATAACAAGTTACAGAGACACCCCACATGAAAATAATCAATCTTTACCACAAAAAACAAGACTTTCAAAGCTCCCCATATCGAAGAAATGGTGAAAATACCCACACATACCTTGCCTTTCGAAACGTTGGGCAGAGAGAAAATGAGAGTTGCAACTGGTGAGGCAATGGAGGTGAAGGTCCATGACCCCACAAACAGGCTCGGCAGGCTCGACAGACCTAAGGAAATTGCACCCTCATCGCGCAGCGGAAGCACCACGAAGTAAGCGCACAGAATCTGCTTTGGAAAATCAAAATTTAGCTGAAATCCCAAACCCCAGTTCTTGAAATTTGAGAAAGTGTTGAAATTTAGCCAAAAGGGACTAAATTTCATATCAGTTCCACCTCCATGTGCTAAATTTCACAAACCCTAATCTAGAATTCGAACCCTAAATTAATTCCAAAATTTATCTGATTTGAGAGAGATCAGAGAGGTGAGTCATTTGTGTGGTGTGGGTGTGGCCGGATTCGAAGACGGAGGGAGAAATCGGCGAGAAGGGTGGTGACCAAGCCCAATGTCACAGGGGCAGCTGTCCAAGGCCCAAAACAGATGGGGGGCACAAAAAAAAAAGTCCATAGCCCAAATAAGGGCTGAAGGCCAAGAGCCCAAGAAAGATGAAAAAAGGGCCAAGGTTGTGGGCGTTACAAAAAAAAATACAAAACGACATTACAAGGACCACTCGGTCTCCAATAACCCTAACTCCCATATGCTTACACTCCTTTCCTGATTCCCCACCCCCCCCCCTTTGTTCGCCACTTCCCCCACTTCCCTCCCTGCCATCCTTGACCCTGACTCCCTTTTCCTTCTCTCAATTCCATTGAAAGTGATTTATTGTTTCCAAACTCCCTTTTCAACTGCAAGCTGCTGCACGCAGCCAGACAACATAGGAGGTCCCTGTCCCTCCTCCTCAGCTCAACACCAAGCCCATTCACCATTGGGCATTGGCTGCTGCAAGTGCAATATCATTCACTCACCACCAACCCTTTTGAGTTTTGAGGTAAATTAATTTTTAAAATTTGAATTATCAATTCATAATTTAATATAAAATTTTGCAAGTGACATAGAATTATATGACATGATGTATAGAATTGTTGTTGTTGATGAATTGAATTCTTGACTAATTGAATTATTTGATTTCATTTGAAAACCAATTTTTAGGTTCAATTTTTATAATATGTTAGACTATGTGTTAATGTTTTTATAATATATAATATGTGTTGGAATGATAATTTTGATAGGAAATTTTTGTTATATCATGTGTAGGTAATTTTTGCAAATAAATTATCGAAGCCATGTCTTTTAGGAAACAACTCTCTAGTAATATGAAAAGGAAAAAAAAGGCAAAGGATAACGAAATTGCCGAAAGTTTAAGATGATCTCTTAATAAATTTTTCTCTACAAAGAACGAGTCAGTTAAAAATTTGAGAGAAAATGATGTTGGTGAAGAGTCACAAAATGTTGTTGGGGAGTCTCATGATCATGAAAATGGTAGTGATTTAGAAGAAATGTTGGTGATGAGTCTTAAGATCATGAAAATGGTGGTGATGTGGATTTGAATGTTGATGATGATCATATTGGTGTAGAGGAAAATATTGAATCTCCTGAACCTGTTTTTCATTTAAACATTTATGATCCAAGAGTTTGGGATGGTCTTAAGGTAGAAATGAGAGACTTACTTGTAGAACATGGACCAATTCAAGAAAATAATCTCACTTATCCTTAGGTATTATGTCCCCCGTTGTATATTTTCTCTAGTAATATAATTTGGGCGTGAGGGCCTAACCCTCCAGCTTCGACTGAGTTCCAGCCCTCGTTAAATATATTTTTTTAAACATATGTTTCAGTGTTAAAAAAGGGCACATTTTGAGCTTTTGCATTGGGCACCCAAAAACTCAGGACCGGCCCTGGTGGTGACGGATAAGTCTTCTGAGCTCTAAGGTGAGGTGAGGTCGAGTCGAGGCTCGAGAGATGGAGAGAGAGTGACTGAGTTCTCTGAGGGTTGACTTTGATTTGTATTCAAAGGTTGAGATTAAATCTCAACCAAATCCGACGGATGTTACAATTCCAAATATATATTTAAAATTAAATAATTTTTTTTATTTCGGTTCGGTTCGGGATTATTGAAAAAATGGAAATGTAAGACCGATTCTCGTACCGAAAGTTCAAGATCGGTTCGGTATTGGGTACCAAAATTTTCGGGATTTTTGGTTCGGTTTTAGGATTTTTTCGGTTCAGTTTGGTATTTTCAGTATTTTTTCCACCCCTAGATACGGTGCACTCCAAACAGTTTCTCAGAACACCCAAGTAATTTCCAACCAATGAGTTGCTTAATATATTTAGTTTCTCAAAGACCATCTCCAATCTTTAAGAATAAAGTTAAAAAATTTAAGTCAGAAAATTTTAGGCTACAACCCAGAAACTGCTTTTCTCCTTCAATAGTTATGCATTAAAATTTTAGCTCGAGATTATTAAATAATGATTTTAGCCTAATTTTTATTTTGGTAACTTGTTTGAAAATAAAATTTATGTAGATTATCCTAATTTAATATGGTGAACGTGTTAATCTAAAAATATTTAAATTCTAACAAATAATTAAAAATCATACAAATACAAAGGTATTTATAAAGTGAAATTTGATTTGAAAATTTTCTTTAAATTATTTTAGATGTTAGATTTAAATCAAATCTTTTTTTTTTTTGCCGTTAGATTTGACTCATTTGATCATAGCCATTGGATTATAATTTAAAAAAAGGTTTGAAATATGATAGTTTGGTGTAGAGGTTGCGCGATGCGGTTTCAAATTGAAACCTAAACTTTTCGCGGTGCTTTTTTGAAGCCAAATCGAAATGAAATCAAACTGTTTTATTCGGTTCGGTGCGGTTTTAAACGGTTTCGATTTGGTTTTTTGAGAAAAAAAAATTACAATTTTAAATTTACACCTATTTACGCATAAAACGATCTCATTTTCCTCGTACATTAATCAATGAACTTGCAACAAAACTATAGCGAAAAACAGCAGCAAAAGCAAAACTATAGCAAAAGAGTTCACAAAAAAAAAAAACTGCAGCAAAGGAAGTTAGGGATAGAGAGATTTGTCTAACCATATGCAATAGTAGCTGTAATCTGCAACACACAAGCATTAAAGAAAGTATATATGTATACATCTTTCATACTGCATAATTTGTTTAAGTTATATATCAAGATAAGCACTGTTATGAAGCACATTTCTCAAGCAAAATAATGTTGCTAATTAGGTGTGCTGCATTAATTAGGTTCAAGCTTCTAGCACATCTATGAACTATGTGCCTTATTTAGATCGAGTGAAGTGTTGTGATCAAGGGTTGGAATTAGTAATTCTACTACAATATGGTACTATTAACTGCACAGCTTCTTGTGTGTGACCAGATAGATGAACATGAGTTTTGAAAGAGAGAGAGATGTATGGACTTGAATATTGGTGCAAAATTGGATGACATTCTATTCTAGTAGAGTTGAGTTGATACTATAAATGTATGGACTCTAATAAATGTTGGGTTTTTGGCTCAAAATTAGGATGATGCAATAAATTAGGTTTGTGTTACCTATTTGGTTTTGGTGTCCTATTTGGGTTTGGTTTTGACTTCTTAGTTAGTTTCCTTGGTGGAGAGATTTTGTTAATTACCTATTTGATTTGGATTTGGATTTATTTCCTATTAGGATTTCTATTGTAACCTAAGTCCTATGCACTATAAATAGGACCTTAGGGTTAGTGTATTTTGTGTGGCTCATTCGTGTGGCAATTTGGTAAGAGTCAATTTGTGAGTTTGTGAGTTAGAGAGCAATTTGGGAGAATCTTCTCCGTTAGTTTTGGGTTCTCTACTCGTTTGGTTTAGGGTTTGTAATTTGTGGGATTTGGGTTGTGAGAGTTTAAACACTCTTTTGTAATCTCCGTTTGTTTAGTGAAATTCCTCGCCGTGCTTCGCCCGTGGAGTAGGCTTTACGCCGATCCACGTAAATCTCTTGTGTCAGTTTGAGATTGTTTGTTTTAGCTTTCACATACGACATTGATATTTGGTACTTTGTTATAGTTCGCTTCCGTTTGCACATAAAAGTACAACAATAAAGAACCAATTAGAACATAACATTCAATATATGGTGCGGTTTCGGTTTCAGTGCGGTTTTGAAAATCCAAAACCAAAACCAAACCGTTTTCTTAGCCGCGGTTCGGTTTCGAAACCGCAACCGTTTCAAAATCACAAAATCAAAAAAGGGAAAATGTAGGGAGACAAATAAGTTATATGAACAAATTAGCATGGTTCATGCTAATGCTATATAAGTTAGGTTGCTGATTTGTTACCTCATTTCTTCATTGGTGATTTGTATTTTCAGTGATTTTCTATTCTTGGGTAATAAGTTTTTGTCAAAAGTTAATGTGATCAGTTTCTTTTCTTTTTAATTTATGTTATGTGTGGTTTTATGTCATGTGATTAGAGGTTCCAAAAGAGAAACATGACTTTTTATTTGGTTAGAGGAGGGGGGGAGGAAGTTCTGTTCAAATTTGGTTTTTCCGATCTCTTGAGAAGAAATTATGTCTCTATTGATATTGTAGGTGTCCAGCTAGCAAAAATTACAAGGTATGGTACAATCTATGCTTCTTTGGTAGATTTGATTCAAATTGGTAGATTTCGGTAAGAAGCTTTTATCTTTTCTTTTAGTTAAAGGACAATTAGGACTTAAATTTGTAAAAGATGTGAATGTTAGAACAATGACAATAGAACTACTAATATATATGGTTTGTAAATAGATTTCAACATATATGTAAATATTATTGCATATCATATGTCTTTAGAACGTTCCACATATTTTATACAGTTTTTAAACCCGCAGTATTGTGTGGGCACCGTTGCTAAGTATATACTAAAACTCAGTTTTGGGTTGGCACTGTTGATCTATAGTGTGCGGGCGGAAATGCCCTTGTATTCCTTTGTTCTCGACCATTTTTTCCGCTTTTTACATAGCTAAAGGATGACTTTGTCCTTCTAGACCACGCGTCCACCATCGCTGGTCCTTTCGGTTCGACGATTTCTCGATTTCGCTTCTCTCTCGCCATTCTCACCTTTTGGGTATTTTGTAACCTAGGTTTTTTTTCTCTACCGCATCGCCATTTTACTCACCGTTCAGCGTCGCTATCTTTCTCCAGATCTTCAGGCCGATAGAACCCGGCAAGATTAGCATGTACGTTTGTGGAATTGCCGCATGTGATCTCAGCCATCTTGACCATGCTCGTGCCGCCATCAATTCCGATGTCGTCTTCAGGTTCGCACGTTCAATCTCATTATTTGCATGTTTCGTTTAATAATTATGCAATTAATTGTGCTCTACAGGGAAGAAATCAGATCCATGGGTTTTTTATTTGTGTATGCGAATTGGGATGTTTTGCAGGCATATTTGCGTCTTTAGCGGCGTTGATGTTGAATTGTGTAAAAAAGGACATTGATTACTCTCCGTGCGAAGAAGGTGAGTGGAGGTGAACAATTGAATGCACAACTCAGATTTTGGATTTATTATAATTGAGTTTTAGTTAAGCTTCATAGATTTTTTCCTTTAAATTTCTGGGTTGTGCTCAATTTTTCGTTAAATTTGTGGGTTTTTTTGGTGTCCTTTTATCTGAAAGTTCTGGTTGCCTTGAAGGATGGTAAGCCTCTTCACTCTCCTCTTTTTCTCT